TGCAGTACTTCAGCATCTAGCGAGCCCTAAAGACGAGCGAGCGTGAAGGGAGTGATGTTTCTATCAGCTTAACAAACACACAAACTGTTTGTGTGCAGTTTGTCTTACACTGTGTTGCTAGCTAAAGGTCCAGCTGCTGTATTTCACAGGGAGAGAAAACACAGAGAGCTAACTTCACTCAGAGGTGGAGAAAGATAAGAAAGAGGACACAAGAGGAAGAAGAGGGGCTAAAGATAAGGACTGATCAGTGGTGTTTGATAAACCGGAAATTTAAAGCTTACATGTAAGTTCTCACATTTTTAAATCAGATATCTGGTCTGTACACATGACATTACGTTTTTTCATATTGTGAAACCTGCAGCTAAACAAACAGAGGTACACTCGCTGTGTTATTTAAAGGTTGCATGAAAATCCTATAAATCCTATCCAATAAACAGGTTAGTTTGCTGTGAGGGGTTTAAAGTAAAGAACAGTGTGTGACTGGTGCACAGTGGCTGTGGTTTCATGGTCAGAGTTAGGTTACATAAAGTGTAGCAGAGATGAATCTGAAGTTAAGCTGATGATGCTGACATTCATTCAGCGAATTTCACCTTCATACCAATTTTATACCTTCTAGAAAAAAGACAGAATACACACTGTACTGTCAGTGTCGAGGATGGAAATCAGCCAAGACAACTCATAAAACATTTGCTGACATCTGGTTGAATTAAGTTGTGTACATCCACAAAGAGCAGCACATTATTTTATAGTTACAATAATAGAGCACAAGGTTCAGTTAGTGTTGCACAAAATAGGTGGTAGAGATGTTCTTCAAGGAGCTACTTTTTACTTTCTTACTGTGAGTACATTTCAGAGTCTGTACTTTTTCACTTTTACTTGAGTAAAGAATTCAAACCAGGACTTCAACTTTTACTGGAGTATTTTTGAATCTGCACTTCTACTTAAGTACAGAATGTCTGTATTTTTGCCACATCTGCTTGTCACTTATTATCAGCTAACTGTTGCAGAACATAATCATGTCCACTCGGTTCCGAGAATTGCAGGCGGTCTTGCTCTACTGTTCCCCCTGTGAATTGTTCTGTTAACAAATAACTTCCTCTGCCGGTCTCTCAGAGTCATTCCAAAACATGCCCAATATAAATGTGTGTTATGTAACCACATATATATATATATATATATA